CATATTTCATAATCGAAATAAATAAAAAATAAAGGAAGGAAGATTTTTTTGAGAGTAACAAAGCAAACATCAATGCAAAATGAAAGCAGCATGATTAGCCTATGACCGGGACGAAGTGGCTACAGAACTAGAAAAACGGAGAAGCTTGATTTCAACTTGTGTGGACTCGTGGTCGAAATGTGTTCTCGACAGCGGCGTGCCTACCCCTTACCGCCAGAGCACCCTCCCTCTCTTCATCCTGCTCTTTCTCTTCGTCCCACTCTCCTCCCAGCTCCCCATCCCTATCAATATATACAAATTGTGCTTGGAGGGAGGTTTGGAGGGAGAGCCCAAGTGAGAGAGTTGTGCTTGGAGGCTCGTTTTCTCACAGAACGATTAGCAGCCTCGAGGAGCACAGAGCCCATTGGAGAGCCCGATTGATGAGCTTGGTATGATCGGCATCGTAGGACCTAGACTCGAGAAGCCTCTCAAAGGAAAGGTCGATGGCAAAAGGGGGGGTGGAATCAGAGAACTCGAGAAGATGGGATGGGGGAGAAAGGGACGGTGAGAGAGACAAAGGGACGAAAATAGGGAGGGGGTCGGGTGGGTCTGGCTGTGCGTCTGAATTATATATATATATATATATATATATATATTTTTAATATATTTTTTGTTTAATTATATGTTATTTTATCATTTTATTTAATAAAAATTTGGGAATTGATTAGTGGATGGGTCCCAGAGTAGACACATCAGTATTTAACGATTAACCACACAGTCAACTTAATGGAATGATGAAATTGGACGATGTTGCAAACGTAAGGGCATAAATTGATAAAATTGATGCCGTAGGAGGGTCCATTTTGAGAACCACTCCAAACCTGCAGGGTGTCTTTTGTTGTTAGCCATTTTCCTTTGATTAAAGGGTTAAATAACTTTTTTGGTCATTGAGTTTTATACAAAATTTCAATTTGGTCTCGTGCAAAAATATTTAGCAAAATTAATCACTGTATTACCAAAATTTTAAAGTATGTAGACTTCTTGTTAGTTTCCATTTAGTTAGTGGGCTAAATACCTTTGGATTTTACACAGAATTTCATTTTGGTCACTCAAAAGAGAAAAAATTTAAGAAAAAACCAGGCAAATGTTAAGCTCTTGCAACTTTGTTATAAACTTCTTTTTTACTTTTTATTTTTTGTCAAATCAATGCATTGACATAGTTATGAATTTGAATTTTTGTGAATCTGAGAATGTGATAATGATTGAAGGGAGGAACCACAAAATTTTCAACGGGTGTGCTAACTAAATTATTAGCTTAAAATCTAATAATCTTTTTTTTTTTTGGTACCCATAGTTTCTAAAGTTTTCTAGAAATAAAAGGATTCATTAAATCATTTCAACCACACTAATTTATAGTTCCACCAAATAATTTTCAATAAGCTTTAACATAAAATAAGTATAAATAATTTGGGAGTTTAGAAATGAACACAAAAAAGCTTATTGAAAATTTAGGAGTTAGAAATGAACACTCATTTAATACATTTTATGCTAAAGTATTTTGTGAATCTTTAAATAATTTATAGTTCCACCATATTAAATGAACACAAAAAAGCTTCACAAATGCAAATTGCAAAATATAAATAATTAAGTTTCACATATATATTAGTTATAAGCATAAAAACAATGAAATTAGAGCCATATTAGCAAAAGGGTGAATTTCACTTAGAAAATTGCTTCCCTTTCGGAGACAAATCAATGAAAAATATTAAAATTGAGGAGTTAAAATTGAGGACTAGCGTTGATGTTGGGACAATTTTTGACAGTGGCCACAACATGGAAGACCTTTAAGGCCCCGTTTGGGATTGCTTTTTTTGGCCAAAAACCTGCTTAACTTTAAAGTTAAGCAGTTTAAGGTGTTTGGTAAAAATAAAATATCCTGCTTATTTTAAAAGCAATGGTCTTTTGACAGCAACTTTTAAAAGCAACCTCGGGGTTGCTTTTTAAAGCTGCTTTTAATTGAAGCAGCGCGCTCCCTTTAATGAAATTTTCGCAATTCCACAAATACCCTTATTAGGTTAGAAATTTATCCTCACGTATTTCTCACAAATCTGCAGACACCAAGTTCATCACGTAGCCTCCCAAGTTTGGAGACAACCATTCGCTCAATCTCTCTCAATCTCTTTCACAAGGTAGATTATCAATCTCTTCAAAGTTATTGATTATAATTTTCTGGGATATTTTTATTCTTCAATCTCTTCAATCTCTCAAAATTTTTGTAGACGTGCTGTTTCTGTGTTTTTTTTTTTCTACTGGAGTTTCTGTAGAACTAGCTGCTGCATCGCCAGAGTGCCTTTCTATGGCAGCTCCTGGAGTTGTTGTTGGAGGGTGCCTTTTGGCTTCCCTATGCATCACATGTTCTCTGTTTCTTTATGTGTGCGCCTGCCTTACATATGTTTTTCTCCATTAAAACTTGAAACTTAAAATTCAATTCCAAAGTCTCCCTCGTAATCTAACCATATGATCGTGCCAATTAGATTGTCTATTATGTTGTTTGTTTTCTTGTATTGTTTTGGGGAAGAGATAGAAGGCCTTCATGCACTTCGTTCAGGAGCATGAAGTCCTGATGTTCATTGACAATAACTTTGGGTATATATTGATGTATGTTCACAAAAGATTCTTAGCTTAAAAAAGAGGTGATATCAGTTGGATAATAGGGCTATATATTTTGCTCATATATATTTCAATTGAAAGGTACGTACTTCTAGTTTTTTTTTTCTATACCAGCATGTTCGCTTTCTTGGCTTGATAATCAGTTTGGTCTCACTACCATTGCTTACACTATCAACAGCTTCAGACTTTCCCACTCAATATTCATCATCACCACTCAATAATAAAAGTTTGCTCTTTATTTTTATTTTCCATAAGTGATATATGTATAGTTTTTCTTTGACTTCAATTAATCCTTGTTATCTTGTACAACTTGGTGTATTGCTTTTGATGTATGTAGTTTTGCCCCATTTTTCCTATATGTAATTACTTAGGCACTCCTATAGGTAATTACTTAGGCACTATGCATGTTTTTAGTAAAAACATTATTTGCTATAACATGTTCATCTCCCAATACATACATATTTATATAAGGACATGCACAGATGGTGAAGAATAATAACGTGGCTAGTGGATCACGAGTTCCGGCTGTATGGAATAATCAGAATACAACTATATTTTGTGACCTGTGTATCAAGGAGGTGGAGGCAGGTAATCGTCCTGGTACTCACTTTAAGAAAGAAGGATGGGAAAATGTGAGGATTAGCTTGAGTAAAGAGACAGGAGCCGAGTATGATAAATCACAATTGAAAAATAAGTGGGATGCACTTAAAGAACAATGGAAAATATGGAAAGAACTAATTGGAAAGGAAACTGGTCTTGGGTGGAATTCCAAACTTGGGACTATTGATGCTTCTGATGAATGGTGGCATAACAAAATTGAGGTATGTTATTAATATTTGTTAATGTTGTTTGTTTATTATAATTCAATGCAACATCTGTAATAGTTTTTAATGTTGTTCTCTTTGATTTGCAGATAAATCCCAAATATGCAAAATTACGTAGAAAGGGTATTAGTCCTGATATGGAAGAGAAGTTTGATAGAATGTTCATGAACACCACTGCCACTGGTGACCATGCTTGGGCACCTTCATCTGGTGTACTTCCAACTCATGATTCATCCGAATGTGATGGTATTCTACTCGACAGTGGTGATGATTCTGATGATCCCGTATATGTACCAGATGAAACAATTCAAGTTACTGAAAAATTTTGTGGGAAGGGGAAAAAGAGAACAAATCAACAACTTGATACACAGGTTAAGAAAGAGAAGAACGGAAATAGAGTTGCTACAAAAGTGGGGAAGGTAGGAGGTGCTGTTAAATTGTCACAACAAATTGAGCGGATGGTTGATGTAATGGAGAATAGGAGTACAAATTCAATGATGATGAAAGGGTCCCAAGGTAGCAGCATTGCTGAAGTGATGAAAGCAGTTTCGTCTTTACCTGGTGCAGGGCCTGGAAGCCATTTGTGGTTGTTTGCAACTCGGTTATTTCTAAATCAAGAGAAAAGAGAAATGTTCACAACTATGGAAGATCCTAACATCAAGCTTCAATGGCTAAACTATGAGCTTTCTGAAAAATAAGCTTCAATGTCTAATATTTCTTAGAACTTTGTTTTGCTACTTGGATTTATCTTTTAGGTTTCGTATTTGGGTTTGCTATTTGAATTTGTTATTTGGATGGTTAGTTATATGTGACTGTTATTTGGATGATTGTTTTTAGTGAATATTCATATGACTTTTATTTATATCAATGCATATGTGGATTTTAGTTGATTATGATGATGAGAATGTCTATAACACTGCAGGTTTATTTCAAGATATGGAAATTTCAGAAGATGAAAGGGAGTTCAATCAAATTGTATGTGTCTGTATTCGTACTATGGAATATTATTATGAGAAGTATATTCATAAAAGTCCTTGTATGGATTCTTTTCAAACAGGAAATAAGTGGGTGATGGAAATGTTACGGGGGAATGAAAAACGTTGTTATAGAATGTTTAGAATGGATAAATGTGTATTTTTGCAATTATGCACTGACTTGGAAAATAATTATGGGTTGAGAGGTTCTAGGAGAATGTGCGCTGCTGAGATGTTGGGAATGTTTGTGCACATTCTAGGACATGGTATAGGGAATAGGCTAGCACAAGAACGATTTCAACATTCTGGTGAAACAGTGAGTAGATACTTTGGTAAATTACTTGATATTGTATGCCTTATGGCCGTTGATATCATAAAACCGTTGGATCCTGAGTTTAAGGGAGTCCCAGAAGAGATATTGAGAGATTCAAGATATATGCCCCATTTTAAGGTAAAAATTAGATACAACAATTTATCGTTTGTTTTACGAACAAAGCAATATTTATTGAAATATTTCTCTTATTGTTTGCAGGATTGCATTGGTGCTATAGATGGCGTACATGTTAAAGCCTCAATACCTCCTGAAGATCAAGTACCATATATTGGCAGGAAAGGAATACCGACTCAAAACATAATGGCTGCATGTAATTTTGACATGCAATTCATATTTGCATGTGCAGGTTGGGAAGGCACTGCACACGATACAAGAGTATTTTTATCAGCGTTACGAAATAATGCTTTAAATTTTCCCAAACCTCCAAATGGTAATGTTTCAAATATGTGCATATCATTAAACTTCGAATTTTTGCACTCTCAAATTATATTATAATTAAACATATCTTATTGGTTACAGGAAAATATTATCTTGTGGATGCGGGTTACCCACAAATGAGCGGGTATTTGGGACCATATAAAGGTGAAAGGTATCATCTTCCAGATTTCCGTAGGGGTACTCAACCAACAGGTTCTAGAGAAGTATTTAATCACGTACACTCTTCCCTTAGGAGTGTCATTGAACGCACTTTTGGTGTATGGAA